CCCGGGGCGGCTCGGTGGGGCTGGGCTCTGCCCCACGGGCCGCTGATGCTCGGGAGAGGGGCGGCAGCCGAGGGAAGGGGACCCGTGTCCGACTCTGTCCGTCGTTCAGAGCCGCAGGGTAAGCAGTCGTGCGGAGGGGGTAAGCATTCGCCTTCTACGTGTTTCAGAGATGTTTGTGGCAGAAATCTTTGCTTTTCTAAAGAAATCTGTAATTCTTTTTAAAGTAGGAATTTTTTAAATATACTGATATAGTCAGGTGGTGATACTCATGTGAGGTACAGGTGACTAACATGGTTCTAGGGGACGTGCGTAGGGGTGACTCTAAATGGAAGGCAAACGCTCGATACTTCATTTTGTTTTCTCAGCCAGATGAGAGAATCACTTTTTTCCCCTCGCTTCCGGGCTGACACATTGTGCCGTGGTCCTCCTGGTCACATCCCTTCCGAACAATAACATCCTCTCAGCTGCCAACTCCCGGACAAAAGTAAATGTTTCCTAAGAGGCTAAGACAGATTAATAGCGAAGTTCCCAAATAGAAGCTTCTATTAAAAAAAAAAAAAGTTTCATTTTGGATTTTAAAATGACATTTTTCTGTAGATATTCTGCAACTTGTATGAGAAAGGTGTGCATGTGTATCTGCGAGTACCTTTTTTTCTTTGTTTCTTAATTTGGGGAAAGAAGGTTCCATTGTAATTTAGGAATGCAGTATTCTAACTTCTTAGAGACTGCTGCTGAGTACATTAGGGTCTGGCCGTGTTCAAACGGCCCCACAATAGTATACAGGGTTATAGGGATGTTTATGTGCAGTTCTCAAATACAGACTGATAATGTGAATTTCAGATTGAGGATAATCCAGGATCAGGAAGAAAGCAATATTTATATAAAGTGCTGAAATAAAGGCTGTTCAAAGACATGATGTTATCTTGGAGGAGATGTTTGAATTGCACTGTAGGTTTTTGTGCTCTGAATATTGTACTGTAAAACGTGTCAGTGAGTTAGGATGAACCTTCATGCATTTTTAGCCCTTTTTCTTCCTTGACCCTCCCACCTGAGAGTACAGTGGCACGAGAAGCAGGTTTCTTTAATTATCTGACAGGAATATGTAGTCATAAAAATGTTTTTGAGTAAATCTATCCGTTCCATGGTAGCATGCTTCATACAATTCTGCATCCTTTGGTTTCTGCTTGAAGTAAAATTACAGGGGCTCATTTTGTGCTGGAACAACCTTTCGTATTATCTAAGGGAGGTTTCTGTATTCTCTTACAGACACCGTGAAAGCAAAATTTACCTCTGGGTGTTCTAGTGGTATTTAATAATGGTATTTGTATAGGTGGGCAATACCTTGATAACCTGTGTCGGGTAACTTATTTTGGAAAGCTTTTCTGGGAATACACCCAGTCTGGCTTGTACTGACAGGCTTGGGAAGAAAATAAGGTTTTTCTTGCGTGCCAAAAGACGATACGGTACTTATTTTCTTATGTCAGATGGGAGATGAAAATCCAGTATATCTTACTGATTTGTTTATAGCAAGTTGCAGACACAGATTCCTACAGTGCAACTGTTAAGCATTTGCTTCACCTCCACGGGGAATCTTATCTTGCTGTTTCAGGTGGTAAATGTCTTTCATAAGAAGTTTTTAGAAATCCACGCTTAGTTTCACTTACACCAATCCATCATGATGAAATAAGTGTTGCCATCTAGCCTGACTTGATGCTTATAGCTGGGAAGAAATCCACTAATTGCAAATTGTTTAGTATTTTCTGAGGCAGTTTCCGTGTTTGACATGGATGCGTTTTCTGTATCAGGACTTATTTCAACGGAAGTTGTTCACCAACACAATTGCTCTTTGTTAGTGATTAATTCAGTCTTTATTAGTGATTAATTTTTTTCTCACCCCAAGCTGTTCTTGTAGGGTTTTTCTGTATACTGTGAAAAGTGCTCTGTTGGGCAAGGCAAACAAAATACAGCAAGTGCAATTCATGGTTTGCATTCAGGGCGCCTCAGTTCATCAGAAGACTCTTCAAAACAATCCACAGGGAATATCCAAAGCTGGAAAAGGAGTAAGTAGCCCAGAGTAGGATATTAGAGCAGGATGTGAAAGAGCATCTAAGACTGGGTGACGGTTGCTTAATGACTGATGCTGCGATGTGTGCGTGTCAGTCACTAGGCGGCTTTCTAAAATGCCCCTGCCTAAGGAGGACAACTAAGGCTCACCAACACAGGCATCCCATTTTTCTCTTCAAGGGGTTTGATGGTGTTGGAAAGCATCATTCAGGATGTTTACAGCATATACTTGGTCCTGAAATTCATACCTTAAAGAAAAAAAAAAAAAAGTACTGTCAAATGTCAGTGTTGGTACTTACCTGAAAAAGCAGAAACAGGATGAGCAGCGTGGAGTTTCACTGGCAGAGGTCTTTGGAAGCAAGCAGAACTTGCTGACAGAAGGACACCCGGGATTAAACTGCATTTGAGAGCAGCTGGACATTTATGGCTTGGTCACCAGCTTTTTTACTGTTACTGGGCTCACCTGAGATCTTGAAGTAAAGTCCCAGCTTTATCATATGATGTAGAAAAATGAACCGTAACCACATCTTTTAGAGCAGAGAATGGCATGATAAGCAAGGGAACAATAAGCACATTTTATAGCCAACCTGAACTTGGCAGGCGTAGAATTGGAGAGCAGGACTGAGCCACAGAGGTTTAGTAGTTCAGACTGAGATTTGGGAAAGATACCTATTTGTGCTACATTACATACAATGAATTAACAGCTTTAATATATTAAAAACATAGTGGGAAACAGGAACAAAACTGACAAATGCTCACAAGACTTACTTCTATCATCTGTTTTTACTTAACTTGTGGTCGTCATGTGTCTGCCTTAAGGGAGGTGGAAACTTGAGTACTGTAATTTTACATAAAAGGCTGTGACATTTCCACGCTGGAATTGTTAATTACTCTCTTACAACATTATATCTGTATTTAAATGGTTGCTTTTAGCAAGACAACTGTAGTGACATACTTGTGAGAAAAGCTGAAAGTCCAGGGCCAAGAAATACTTAGCCCCCGCCTTACTTTTACTCCCTAGAACGTTACTGACAGAGTCCTTATAGATATCTGCAGTAGGTACTTGCATACTTCAGATGCAATAGAAATAGTTTAGTAGCTGCCTCCGTTGCAGTATCTAACAGAAATGTAGGACTGGTCCTGGAGTTTTTTAACAGTATTGCACAGGTCATGTTAACCTCTCCCATAAGTCTGCATCGTTCTGAGTTTTCACATTAAGTTCTTAATATTACCATTTTCAGCAAGCCCAACGATTAAAAAAAAAAGTGTGCAGATTTTCTGGGTTTACTATGGTAATGCAATTTAAACAACATCTTAGTGAAGAACTCATCTCCTGAAACACTAAGATTTGACAAGCCTGACGGCATGTTCTGTTCCTTTCTTGAACGTAAAGAGTTGTCACTGTGACTCTTGATGGTGTCTGGAGGACTGGGACAGTAAAAACAGTGCAGGTCATTTCTCAGAATCACCCTGCAATCTGTGCAGCACTGGGACTACCTTGGATGTTATCCTGCCATTCCTGTTTAACCTGACATGGCCCCTACCACTGTGGAGAAGGATGTGGGAAAAAGACAACTGTCAAATCAAATCTTGCACTAGTAGAAGCTTTCAGCACCTCACTGGCTGTGTGCATGTGTGAGTGAGGGGCCGGGCTCTGGGTTGTCCTTCTCCTGACTGTGCGTTAAGAGGTGAATGTTAAGTCCAAACTTGTTGAGGTGGTTGGTTTCGATGACTATGGGACCTGTTGATTGTTGCTGGCAGCCTTGGATCTGGACAACAGGCTGGAAGCTGATTAACATTTTAGTACTTGGAGTCTGAGTATCGAGTACTGAGGAATTCTTGCTTCCAGCTCTGCTGCTGACCTGCGGCACCTGCAGTGCCATTTCTTGGTGTTGGTAAATAGAAATCAGGTCTTTCCCTGGCACTTCCATGTTTGTGCCCTGTTTCTAGTTGTCCAGCTTTGCCAAACTTTTAATTGTACATAGGCTGAAGCTTTTCGTCTTGGTCTGAAGGTTTAAGTCTCTGGGGAACTTCAGTCAAAACAGTGCATGTTCTTTTGAACCCAGGGTTAGGATGTGGTGGTCGTTCGTCTATGTTCAAATACTCTCAAAGATGGTTTTTTTGAAATCATTTTTCACTTCAGTGCTTTGGGATAGGAACTCCCATTTGGGTAGGGGAAATGACCTCTGTGTAGAGGATGCCCCCCGTGTTTTGTTTTTACCTCTACCTTTGAATTTGGCCAAATACGTTCATGTTTGTAAAAAACAGATAGCATGTGCTCAGTAAAAGTGGTTTTGGTATGTGTGTGTATCTTTGTTTTATACCAAATAAAATCTGCATTGGTTTTATCTTCAGTGAGCATGCTCAAACCTCTTTCTTTCCCATAGAAGAGCTCAGCGTGGGACAGCGACAATTACAGCCATGTAACTGCGGCACTGGGGCTGAGCGGGGAGGAGTGTGTCATCCCAGCCTCCCGCTGATGCCTTCTCCTCTAGCCCCTCTTCCCCTGTTGCTGGTAGTCCTAAGGAAGATTCCCAAATCCAGCGTGTGGCTTTCCAGTGCTTAATAATGGAAGGGGCTATAGGTGAGAGGGAGAAGATGTTGATGACAGATGGGGGTAAACACAAGGGGGCAAGGGAAGGGAATTGCATTCAACTTGTAGAGAACAGGATTTGTTGGGCAAAGGGCTGGGATGTGCATGAGATAAGGGACTGGGATTTGATGAGGAGGAGCAGCGGGAAGCTGGGACTGGTTTAATTGGAAAGGTCAGCTAGGAGCATATGGGAGGGAAGGAAGGGATATGGAGAGAGCAAGCTGTGAGGAGAAGTAGGGACCAAGAGCTGGGCTGCAGTGAGGTGCTAGGAATTGCCCGGAGACCATTGTTTGGAGGAGATGGAGGCAGGGGAGAGAGCTCAGGGGGGTGGAGAGCAGGGTGAGGCAGAATCCAAATTGTAGAGGGAAAACTGGTAGCTCTTCAAAGACAGGTTTTCCTGCTTCTCTGTTCAAACAGCTATGTAGACAACTGGCAGTGGACCAGCTCCTCAGTGGAGTGCTGGTCCACAGTGCAAGGGTGGCTTGCCTTCCATTATTCCTTCCTCAGCCCTTACAAACACATTTCTCCTGCAAACCAGACTCCTCTCTTCCCCTCTGCATATTAACTGCACCACAGCTCTCCTAGCAGCATCAGGGTGAAGTGCATGGGAAGAAGTGCTCTCCTGCAAAACTGAAGTTTTAAAGCTTAAGCTTGTAAAAATAGAGCCTTCCCCTGCCTCTGGTCCTGTCAGACTCAGCCTGTGAGTACAAGGGATGATGCGAGAGCTGTCTCATCCAGCTGCCTTTGCCGGAGGTGCGTTTGGGAGAGCCTTTGCGGTCCCTTCTGTGGTGGGTGTCGCCACCAGAACAGAGGAGTCTGGAGGAGGTCCTTGTCCCTGGCCTTGGTTCAAGTGACAGATGTCGCACACTGGATTTGAAAGTCACAGTTCTAGCAGTGACTCACATGTGTACCACTGACATCTATTGTTTTCAGCATGAGGTGTTTAAAAAATGCCAGGAAACCTGTGAAATATGTGCACGCTGTTCCAGAGGCGCTCGATGTCTGTGCTGCAAAGTCAAGCACTAAAGGAAATCTGCTGCCTCCCCTTTCCTGCTCCTTGACAGTCATCTATGACAAGTGGTTGTTTTTTTCTCCTCTGCAGCACTCTGTCAACACATGAGGTTAAACCCATCTGGGGAAGGAACGGGTCATGCAACGTGTCTGACACCGTGAGCACTGTCTGGTCTGTGGCAGAAGTTAGAAAGCATGCAGGAATCCAGTAGGAGACTGAAGGAGAAAGGATGGGGGCAGTGTCTCATGGCTGAGGTATTCAAAAGCTCTTAAGAGGAACTGGACTCAGTCCCTGGCGCCAGACTATCTGTGAGATGTTAGACAAGTAAGTAAGCTTTTCTGAAGAGGCCAAGTCCGTATCGGGCTGCCAGCAGCTGAGTGACACTTTTGGTATGCTGGAGTTGGTTTTGCAGAACTGCTGTAGCAGCGGTCAGCATGCGGGTGGGCCTTGTCAGGGAGCACCGGTGGCTCACGGGGTGACTCTGAACCCCTGAGTGAGCAGCTAGTTGTGAAAAGGGCAAATGTACAGTGGCACCGACATGATCTCTGTCTTAGCTTCCCACGTCCCAAGGGGATGAATTCACATTTTTAATAGCTACAGAGAAATGTCAAGTGAAATAACGGCCCTCTGTCTTGGAGAAGAGTAAGCTGCATGGTTTAATTAGCTTTGAAGTCAAGGTTGAAAGAGGATAGGGGTGCACAGCATCGTGAGCAGCAGTGTGGGAGAAAGGTAATCAAGCTATGGACAATACTGGCATAAGAACAGATTTTTGTACGTGAGCAATGAATCATTTCAGCCTGGAAGTTGGAAGAAAGTGGGTTTTCACCATGAGAACAGTGTGGCAGGAAGGGAAGGAAAAAAGACAACTTGTTTTAAAAGACAACTCTGTTAATTTAGAAATAGAAAAGAACTGATATGGTAGACAACCATGTTATGGCAAGATATGAAGTGTGTGGTCCAGGAGCCCTGTGATCCAGGGAAAGTTCTGTACAGAGTGCTGAAGTTTCCTGAAAAATCAGCTTTAATGGACAAAAAGACCCGAGCACCAGTCTAAAGATGCTTTGTACATTTTCTTTGTGCTCTGTGAAAAGGAGGCAATGCTGACCTTCTGGGAAATGTTGTAAAATAGTTTGTTCTGGAGTACTCTGCAATAGGTTAATGTCTCTAACATTTCCTAGGAGGAAATCTGGTAATTTTGTCTTTGCCAGTATTTGTATGAAATATATTAGAGCTGTACAATAAATCGAGAACAAACTCCACACCATTTACTTAGTAATTTTTGCCCTAGTTTTTTGCGAAGACGAGAGCTGAGGGGAAAAGAAAGGTGGTATGTGTTTATGTAAGCAAAAGCTGGGTGGTTGTTCACTTGCAATAGGTAGAAATCTGGGCTGTGTAGGCAAGCAGAGGGTGTGGGGCCATACAGCCCTGGCTGCTGATGAGCTGTCTTTAATGTTTTGCAATAGATCTGTGAAATGATTAGCCCCTCGTTTATGCACATGCATGAAACAGTACTAGTTTCAGGTGTGCTCTGGATAGCATTCTAAGTGCAGCAAAGATCTAAGTGCACTTGTTAAAGCAAAGCAATAGTAATGGGCTGCAGGAGATCAGTCGAAGTACAGCAGAGGCCCCTCCAGTGGAAGTTTTGGAAATCTTTCTTCAGCTTTTCACAGTCATTTCAGTAACTGCTTGAGAAAGGATGACTTGGGTGAATTGTCTCCTCCCTGTCCTTTTTTTTCAAAAAACAGTTTAAGAACAATTAGTGATACCTTTGTCTCAAATTGATTTAAAGACGATAGGATGGGACATTTGTCACCCACCCCAAATTGTTCTTAAAATCATAAAGGATGGAGACTTCCCTTATCCTCCAGCAGTCCTTTATTCCAATATGTCAGTATATCCACTGATGTATATGAATCCTTCATTTAGTTTAAGCCTACTACTTCTCTTACTGGCTGTAGAAAACAGCCTGCTGCCATTTCTTTGTGCTAATTTGGTCTTACCACAAGCATGTAATTATATGAGTCATTTCTACACAACAACACCACCACTCCTAATCAGCCTTCAAGCCTGTTAGTTTCCAATTCAGGCCTCAATTTAACAATTCTTGCTTTGATAAAGCGCTTTGGTTCATTCATCCTTTCATATGGAGCAACTTCCACATGACACCTGATTCAAGCCCCAGAACTACTTCCAGTTCTGCATTAATGCCACCAGATAAATCTTTTAGTTGTTTATATAACCTCAATTTCTTGCTTGAGGAGGTGCTTCTGCATACCTGAAACTTGGTCTTGGCTGTTCACAAAGGTTCTTATGTTTTATTGTTGGGTGCTCTAAGACATGGAAACTGATAGAAAGGAGGACTTGAGCTGCTTCTTTCTGATCAAGTGACTGTTGATTATACTCTGCAGCAGATGAGCCGTCACTTTAGCATCAATTTCATTTTGCACCTTAAACTGTAAATTGGAAACCGTATTTTCCTATTGATAACAAATTCTCAGTAAAATATTTGTGTTATTTGGCTCTTCTAAGACCTTACAATTAAAGCAATTACATTCAGATTGGAGGTAACTAGCTGATACTTCCTAAACTTTGTTCCTTAATGGGAAGGAGTTAAAATCTTGGCAGGTAATGTAGGTTATGTGTAGCTGTCTTGATATTTCTGCACTGGAAAATGGCCATCTTGCTGCTTATAGCTCTCCACTACAGGTTAAGTATTACTTGTAAACTGCTAATGCTAACTTTGAAAGAAACAGCTAGTCAGCGGTTTTAAGACTGAACAAACTCAGCTTATTTCTAAAGCGAGTTTCAGGTTTCTTGGAGCTGTCGAAACCTGTCCTGTCATGTCTGTACCTACAGCTCTGCAGATTCCCGCTGGGAGGAATTCCACCCCCAAGACACTGAGCTCCTCAGGCCTGCCCCTGGAGCACTTCTCAGTGGGTAGAAGCAGAGAGTGAAATCACTTTACTGGCTACAGATCAGGTGGGTGATACCCCATCCTTATGGCAAAAATCCCACCCTTCTGAAGAGTTAGGCTGTGCCTTTAATAAAGTTTATTTTAAAAAATCTTTCCTATTGCATGGGAGTTAAAAGTCCAGGATAAAACTGGTAAGAACTCTCTAGGGAAGGTGAGTTATTCCTTAAACTAAAGCAGCTGTAGTACTAGAAGCATCTAACTGTGAGCAGTCATTTGAATACCTCTAATGTCATATGTGCAATTAATACGGAGCAAAGTTTACATCCTTTGTAGAGTCAGGTTTTGGAATAAGTGCCAAAAGTTAAAATGAGGTTGATTATTGTAACCAAGTGCTTTCATACATGCATAGTATAATTGTCTAAATAAAGTGTGAACATCTACAAGAAAAAAAATGCACATCTATCTTGCAAATTTTCTTGGATGAAGGCCCAGGATGGAGCATCTTCCTTTTCAGAAGCATTTTTTTTTTTTTCTGGGTAAAAAACTGTCTGGATGGCCAGGCCCAAAGAGTTGTGGTGAATGGAGTTAAATCCATTTGGTAGCCGGTCACGAGTGGTGTCCCCCAGGGCTCAGTATTGGGGCCACTCCTGTTTAACATCTTTATTGATGATCTAGACGAGATCGAGTGCACCCTCAGTCAGTTTGCAGATGACACCCAGTTGGGTGGGAGTGTTGATGTGCTCGAGGGTAGGGAGGCTCTGCAGAGAGACCTGGACAGGCTGGAGCCATGGGCTGAGGCCAACTGCAGGAGTTTCCATAAGGCCAAATGCCGGGGGCTGCCCTTGGGCCACAACAACCCCCAGCAGCGCTACAGGCTTGGGGAGGAGTGGCTGGAGAGCTGCCAGTCAGAGAGGGACCTGGGGGTGTTGATTGACAGCCAGCTGAACAGGAGCCAGCAGTGTGCCCAGGGGGCCAAGAAGGCCAATGGCATCCTGGCTTGTGTCAGCAATAGCGTGGCCAGCAGGGACAGGGAAGGGATCTGACCCCTGTACTCAGCACTGGTGAGGCCGCCCCTCGATTCCTGTGTTCAGTTTTGGGCCCCTCACTACAAAAAGGACATTGAATGACTTGAGCATGTCCAGAGAAGGGCAATGAAGCTGGTGCAGGGTCTGGAGCACAGGTCGTACGGGGAGCGGCTGAGGGAACTGGGGGTGTTTAGTCTGGAGAAGAGGAGGCTGAGGGGAGACCTCATCGCCCTCTACAGCTCCCTGAAAGGAGGTTGCAGAGACCTGGGGATGAGTCTCTGTAACCAAGTAAAAAGCAACAGGACAAGAGATAAAATGGCCTCAAGTTGCACCAGGGAAGGTTTAGACTGGATATTAGGAAGCATTTATTTACAGAACGGGTTGTTAGGTGTTGGAATGGGCTGCCCAGGGAGGTGGTGGAGTCCCCATCCCTGGAGGTGTTTGAGTAGAGTCAACATAGCGCTGAAGGATATGGTGTAGTTGGGAACTGTCAGTGTAAGGTTAATGGTTGGACTGGATGATCTCCAAGGTCTTTTCCAACCTAAACAATTCTGTGATTCTGTGATTTAGTACTTAAATATCATTAATGTCCCATAACAAGAAAGTAGACTTTGTTTTGTTTAAGATTCTTAATAGAGATGGATTTGATAATTTTATTTCATTGATCTGATGGCTCAGAATGTATAGCATATTTTTAAAAAGTCACATTTTCAAGCATTACACTATTAACAACAATGTAAGCTTAGCTTTTTTTTTTCTTCTTAAAAACAGAGAAGAAAACAGCTCCTAACTTCAGGAACGTACATGGCCTATATTACTTCAAGTGTTTTGCAGAAATCATTTTGTCTTGGAGTGGGGATTAGTTTAACAGAAATAGTTTTTACTTTGTGAACCAATTCTTGGGTTAGGGAAAATAGGAGGTAAGGTAATTAACAAAATTTAGTTTCTTTGAGAATACTGAACTCAGTCATATCACAGTTACAGTAATCTTGGAACAGAAGCTATATTAGATTGATAAACACCTAAACACCCTTGGTTGATTATAAATATGCAGAGTGGCTGGAGGAAAGAAAGACAGCATACAGAACATCTGTAGCTCTTCAAGGAGAATTTAATTCTGATCACCATCTCCTATCATTATTTTCAGTCCTCCCTTGTTTGATCCAGTTCAAATATTCAGGCGATGTTAGAATAGTGAAAATTTACTGAGTACCCTTAAAAAGCTTATTTTTAGAAGGAAGTTCCCACATATGTGAGGAAAACATATTGCAAAAGCAAAAGAATGGTTTATTTGGATTGAACAGCAACAACAATGTTGAAAACTAGTAGCATTAAGAGCATCAATTCTTGGGCCTCCTGAACAAAGGGTTTCTGTAGGTTTTTTTTACTGCAGGAAATAGCTGTAATTTTCTTAGATCTCAGTTTTCCAAGTTAACACACTTGGTAATGTTGAAGAAGAGTCCCTTTCTCATTAAATAACAGTTCTGAGCTTTGTAACTTACCTGATTACAAGCTTTTACGTCTTCCCACATATGCTAAAACCTACCCATTACTGTAAAACCTGATATGCTTCTCGCTTGCAGATTCAGTGCAGAGGTTCCCTTCTAGACTGCAGGATGAACTTTAGTGCAGGGGGCAAGTTCTTCCCACTGAAAGCAGTGGTACCTGCACTGCCCTGTCAGCAAGCACATGCACTGCATACATGGTAGGATAGTGAACTACTAAAGTCACACTCCCAAGTGGAGAACACCTGTGCAGTTCAGCCAAACTTTTCCTCTGGAAAGGTTAAAGAACTACTTCTTCTTAAAACAAGTTCCAGTCTTTTAAAAAAAAAATCACATTGTTGACGAGGATGGACGAGTACAGTCAAAATGCAGCAACTCTGAATGACTGGAGACACTGTTTCCAGCTATTCATAAGGAAATGAGACAAGAATAGCCTGAGATGGGTTTCACCTCCTTTAACTGGAGCTGTAATATTTCATGCTCAGACTTGCTGACTCTATGGATCATACTGCCATCAAAACATAAAAGAAGTGATATACTGCTTGAAAAGTACAGCAAAGCCCTCAGATTGTGTCACTGGGAAAACAGTGCCTGCTCAAAGGTGGTCACACTGTGAGCAGAAGCCTCACCAGTGATTTCATAAGCGACCAAGAAGTGACCATTTCTTCAGTGTTCTTATGGAAAAAGGGCAAGGTGTGAAGGAAATATTTATCCTGAGGTCTAAGTGCCTTTTTTCATTAAGATGAAAAATAATCCCAGTGCTAACTGGTCACTACAGTAACAGATACCTCAATTTGTATGCAGCTAGTGTGGTTTTGGTGTAAAATGCATGATAAGATAACATAAGATAAATAAAACTGTCCACCAGTACCTCACACTGGAATGAGCATTCTGCCTAGGCTCCACCTCATGCCACCTCAGAGGACAGGCAAAGCCCCCCGTGCATTGCTGCTCTGCACAGTGCTAACGAGCAGCTTCTGCACTAGACCCCCAACTCCCCAGCCCGGGGTCTGTGCAGGTACAGCAGAGGGGTTAACACAAGGTGCCCATTTCATCTCCTTTATTACAAAACTCAGACTAGCTCACTGCGTGTGTACAAGGGAAAAAACCTCACAGCAGCGGTACCTGATGCAGGCTGGCAGGCCATGCTTGGGGAAGGCAGTTCAGTGGAGTACATCCTTAGTCCTCCCGCAGCTCCTCAGCTGTTCTGGGAGTGCCTAAGGCAGAGGCTGGGTTGCATGGAACTACTATCAGTGCAGCTGGTCTGGTCAGAAACACTGACTTTTGAACCTGTTGATATGCTTTTGATCAGCAAGTTTCACTATTTGATTAGGATAACTACATTGCCTTTAGTTTTGATTTGCTGTTTCATGTCTGCCAGTCCCCTCTGATTTGTTTTAGTAACGGGTGAATCACCATTCCCTGTTCTCCTTTGCCATAACATTTTTAATTTGACAAAGAGTATCGGATCTTCCTTTGCCATCTCTTCTACTCAACTGAAACAACCCAGGTGTTTACTCACAACATGAAAATTGCACTGTACTTCTGGCCACCTTTTGTCCTGCTCTGTGACTTTTCAGGGATTTTATGTCCCTTCAGAGATGACCAAAGCTACATGGGATGCTGGTAGCAGGGACACATGGGGGTTTTATAGAGCAACAGAAGGTTGTGATTTTGACTTCAGTTCCCAACACCATTTGTTTTTTTAACTGTTCCTGCTGTTATGTGAGCACTAACCAGAATGATTCCAAGCTTTTTCTTATAGGAAACAGCTATTTTAAAGGGCATTGCACTTGTATAGATGGAGATGCTTTTCAGTAAGTGCTATCCCACATTTTACAGTCAACCTTGGGTTGCATAATCCTGAGCAACTGAATATTCCAGACATTATTCACCTTTCTATTCACTCCCTTCTCCAGATCCAGCAGCACAAACCCATGGATGACATTGCTAGCAACTTCTCTCTATTGTGAAAACTGAAGATAAGAAACAGAACCAAGAATAAATGCTCAGTTATTAATCCTGATATTCTTCCTACAGTGACTAGGACAGCACGAGCTAAGACTCCCTGCCAAAGAACTTTCCAAATATCATCTTATAAAACAAAGTATATCATCCAGACCTCCTTTGTCTGCATGATCATTCACTCTAAGAACAGAGTCAGAAATTATAACTCCTCCCTATCACAGCCATACTGACATCAATTTATATTTTATTTCTCAATATAATAATGTTTACTTTTAGTTGTAGCTTGCAGCCCTTCCTAAAATGATGTTCCTATGTGGGAATCATTAATTATATTTGAAGGAAGGCAACTCCAAGTCAATTCTGTACCTCAAGAAGAGGGCTGAGTTGCTAGCTTTGCCTTGAGGAAAGACCTGCCACTATCAGCCCTTTTCACTTGTGAGCTGAAATACGAAGTTTATATGTATATGTCAAGCCACAGTAAGTTTTGCACCACTATTAATCAAATGAGAAGAGATGACATATTTCTGACTTGACTATAGATAACAAATATTATTTGTGCTAGTGCAGCTAATGGTATAACTCGATGTAAAACAATGAACTCCACAAAAGCTACCACCACCTTGTACCTGCTACTTCCCAGTGACTCCAAGGTGTATGTGAAGTAAGGGAGTACTAAAATGAAAAAGAAAGATGAAGTACTTCACTGACCTAGAATGGTAACACCATCTTCATACCTAACCTGAAACCTGAAGACAAAGCAGGCGCTCTAAGCAGCACTGGCCTTTCTTCTCGAGAAAGGAATGCTTGGATGAAGCTGCAATCAGCACACCCAAAGCTGAAATTATTGCAGTGTCTTGTCCACACAATTGAATGTTTAGATAAGTATGTACACAAGTCAGCCAATAGCAGAAAGTCCAGCAGGTGTTTATTTCCCCTCCTTCACCACTATTATCCCCACAACATGGGGAGCTTTCACCATATCTTGCTTTTTCTCTCTTCCCCACTCACTCTTGTAGTGTGCCATTTAACCCCATTCAGGTACTAAGCTCCCAAACTAGGGCTCAGAGCATCTGCGCTAAGTGCTGAAGGCCAAAAAAAACAAACCCTGACACTGCAGATAGTTGCTGTCCTCCTTAAATCCTCACAGCCTAAACTGCAAGTATTGGAAAGACTCTTGTTGCTGTAGCTATCAACACTATGAAGAAGATGCATCAGGGGATAGTGTTATATTCCAGTTCTACAAACCTCTGGTTACAGTAATTACTTCAGCACTGTTAAAAGACATTTGGTGCAGTAGCACCCAGTTTCTTGCATACAAGAGAAACCCACCACTAGGAAGGATAGGACTTAATATGCATTATGGCCCCCCCTGACACAGCGCTTGGCCCACCCCCAGATCAAAGCTGACACACCACACAGGCTTTAGGTGTTTCAATAACAAGGGAACAGAAATCACCAAAAGTTTTGGACAGACCATCTACCATAGCAGTCTTACCCAGGACAGCATGATATTCCTTGGATACCTAGCATGCTTTTATGTTTGAAGGAATCTTAAGACACCTGCAGCCTTACTGACGTGCTCATATCTTAAAGGACAAAATGGTACACTGATGGAAATCAGGTTAAGTGCTGCTTCTGATTTTGTGCTTTATGAACAGATCAGAACTAACACACAGAAAACCTGTGGCACACATCCTGTAAGTACAAAGAAAAGGCACAGCAGCCTGTCTCCCTTAAAGGAAGGAAGCAAATTTGGGGACATCCTTAGATGGCTTATGTTCTCTCTGCTCCACCGAAACCTATGGGTCATATCCCTTTCTTTACTTCCGCTATCCCAAACTAAAATCAGAGACTTACCTCAAGTGACCCCATGTGCTGGAAGCTGTTATTTCACAATGACTATTACTAACCAGCTGATGCAACCCAGAAGAGTATCATCTGGTGTTTTGCTTTCTGGTATTAATCTGTGTCAGCATCAAGACATTCAGCCAGGCAGTTTAGGACTGAAATTCAGGATCAGGCAGTGGATGATAACCAACCTGATTAAACTAAAATCTGGAAATAAAATTCATAAATATAACATGGAACCTCATGACCTACTTCTCCCTGCCTCTGTAATAACAACTTCAGAAACTTAACTAGTTAAAAAAATAAATTCAATCTGTTTCTTATAGCCTAAAGTTAAGTATTTTAACACTTCAGCAAAACCCTTTTAAGTTGAGTGTTCACTTTCTCTGAGGGAATGCAAATCTGGTTTTCTGCAAATAAAAGTGGGAAAGTGTCCTTTAATTGCAGTTTTTTAAATTATTGCCATCTGATTAACCAAATTTGTATAAGCTAGCAATGTAGCATAGCTTTGACACTGTGCTTAGGCACAGAAGTGAAGTCTATTCTACACCCACCCCACCCCTCCTTTTTACATATATATCCACTGTGTTTATATGGGATACTTTCAAACTCCAAAACATTAAAAAAATTCAGGAAACTAGGAGCATCAGAAAATTAAATGAAAAAACATTACGTTAACAAAAGCTAGAGCTAACCCAAACATTATTAATTTCCCTAGGGCTCCCTTGCATGTACCAATATAAATCCTTTCTGGCTCCATACATGAACCTGGAAGTGGCACTGGCTTTATCCACACTGGCATAACCAGGTATTCAAAAAACCAGGGCTTCTCTCCTTCCCTGCAGACACCTTTCTACACCACCAAGTTCCCTGGTATGGACAGTGCAAGCAATCAATGAAGTCCTTTATTCCAGTATAAATTATTATGAGCTGTCTCCCCCAGTTAAGTTTTAGTCCCTACTAAAGCTTCAAAGCCAATGGCATTTTGAAGGTCTGCAAACCCACATGGGGTGGTGCAAAACAGATTATGATCAAGTAAACAGCATAGGATAAAGGCACAGTAGATAAAGTATCCAAACCAGATCATTTTATTACCTTAAAATATGAACTGATTCTAATATTTAATCACTTGGTCACAACTGCTTAATTTCCATAGCAAAAGCTTGTATAAGCTTGTATAAATTGCAAGTATCAAATGGAGATATGAAACATCATTTGAGTCTGCAACACAGATTCAGATATGATTGGCCAAGCATTTACACTCTCTTTATATGTATGCACCTTTTGTAAGGCACCACCATATTTATCAGACTAATATCACCCTAGAACTTCTTTCAAAATTGCTAAAGGCTTTTTAGATTCAAGAAAACATAGTAGTGATGTGAGATTACTCTTAAAAAAATTATCAGTTATTTTCTTTGTTCTGGAGTAGAAGGTGGTCAGTGCTTCCCTGTGAAAGTCTTTGATTTTGTGATCAATTACGATGGTGTAGTTTAATGACTTTTGACGTATCCCATGGCCCTTGTTTTAGGATAAGGTATGCAGAAGCCTACAAAGCTGCTCAGCATTTAGGACTGCAAGACTAAGAGCAGCAATTGTTTACAACACTGTTCCCACAGTAAAGCTGCCTGTTTAAGACATTTCCTGGCTTTGTAATTCACTATTTCCTCCACGCTTTCCTTCTCTTTCACTTTGCAGGCTTATTTCTGCTGGAAGTTATTTTTCAGAGGGACACTCCCAAAAATCCCAGGCCAAGAAGTATCTGTGGTTTCTCAACTGTGTGGTAGTAAACTCTCCTCCCCAAACTTGGGAAGCGAGACCCTCCTCCTGCACTGCAAATAAAGTTGCATAGACTGCTTCTTAAAAAGAGCATTTTTCAATATAGAGACATTTGAAATTGTTATTCTACATGTTTTTCTCTTTGGAATGTGTTCAAGCTACTCAGCAGCTTTGTCCTACTTTCTGTAACTGATTATGACAGAGATTGTACGTAGCCAGCATGGGGTATTTAGTGCCTGCTTTCCTGCTGGATGGTGTGTGCCTCCTGGTCATGCTTTATCTTCTCTTGCTTCTAAGTTTCAGCAGGTCATGAGTTCAGCATTTTGGCGAGGAATAGTCCCTGCTGATGCATCTGTAACTTCTCTGGTTTCTCCCCAAAAAAGGTCCTCACCTCACATCTTCAAGAAAAGCACATGAAGCTGAGGCTTCTGATTACTCAAATTCCATTCCCACACTTGTGCAGAAGCAGAGATCATGTCTGCCAAAGCTGAGGTCAAGCATGTTATTCCTGTGACCTACTTCAAACAGAGTTAAAAGAAACATTGAACCTTCCTTTGAAAAGCATGTGAAGCATATTAGTTTCCTGGGTTTTACTGTTACAAATTAGACTCAAGGAAGCTCCTCTGACCAATACCGTCCGAAGAGAGACTGCAATTCAAGTTAAATTATACAAGAAGGACCATGCTCTCCATGCCAACCTGAAAATTGTCTCACTGATTATAAAGATCACAGGATCTGGCCTCCTCGTTGTTACAAGCTGCTCATGCTATCTATTAAGGTTGCTAGACTTCCTACTGTGAGGTCTTTCCCTCTCCCCAGGAGTAAATCGTAGTAGCTATCACATTAGTAGTAGACATCATTTTAACCTTTGCTATGTACTTGCTTCAGATCAACTCGTTGGAAATTCAGCCAAAAAAGCTTGGATTTTATTCCCCTCCAGTTAAAATTGCTGCAGTCCTTTCTCCAAAAGCAATTCCTACAGTGTTAATAAATAAATAAATTTGGTTTGGTCCTCTCATAGGCCAAAAAGCTTGCATCCTTGGGATAGGGCTAGACTTGGTCAAGTACCAAGTATGTGATACTTTGTCCTTGTTCATTCTTTATCAGAAAAGGTATCTCACACTGTACCGTTCCTCTGCATAGCAAACACGTAACGTACAGCATAAACACACTTGTCGTAGAGTTCCTCCTTTCTGATAACTTGAGATCAGAGTATCAGAGCTAACTAAGAAGCCACTGCAAACAGCACTTCAAACACCTCTCACAAAAAGCATCCTGAAAAATCCAGCGTTACGCCCGTGTTTGTAGTGAGGCTGCTATGGTGGTACTGCTCTTAGCAGTCACAGGATCTCCTCATAGCTACTTGAATTGATAAATTGCCAGTAGTCCCATGGAAGTTAAGATAATTTGCTCTTTTGGACAAAACGTGCAGTGTTGTACAGCTGACTCAAAACATGATAATTTCTCACACACACTGAATTAACTAGCAAGCAACGCACAAAAATACCAGTTTTCCAGATTTTTTTGGTGTTATTCCAAATTCTGTAAATAAGAATCTTTGCAGTTTCCACCTCCCACCTAGACATTATAGATGAATACACTGAAGGATTTAGGTAACTTTTTAGTCTGTTTAAATACCATGTTAGAGCACTGCTTGTGGATTGCTGTGGCCTTTAACACAAATATATGAAAGATGCATTTGCATGGGAATTCAAGCAGCTGCAGAACAGTCCTGCCTTCCTGTCAAGCACTGTGAAACACTGAAATAAGATTAGGGACTTCATTTTGCACATGTCCAGGGACTGAACTTTGCAAGTTCCTTTGCAATTTCAGGTGAAGATTTTCAGCAGTAAGTTGACAATGCAGCAAACAAAAACAAGGACAAATCACTCAGTCCCAAGTACAAGGGCAGCCACATAAACTGCAACATCCTATGTTAGTATAGCAGTATAGCAATACTTTTTGCAGTGAAGACCATAATCTCACAGGTTTTCTTCTTCAGTTTGAAGAGGATACTTATATGTATCAATTGCTGCTCATTACAGTCTTAAGCTGTATTTTCTATTCAAAACCTCACACCAAGTTTATAAGAAAATGCATATTTGCTGGTATGGTTCAGTTCTTGCCAGCTCTGGACCTTACTGGAAAGGAATTGAAATTATTAAACTATTCTTTCAAAGGGATACACACAGGAAAAAAGGATCTATTAGACAGTTGGTGAAATATGCAGTGTTTCAGGACAAGGAGGGGTGTTTTTTGGTTTTCCCACTTTTTCAGTAGAAGAGTCCCTTGGAAATTTGGTACAAGGATTAGTGTCAGTAGTATGAAGAGACTAGGTGTTTTAGCTTACCTTTTGTTGGCAGTGAAGTCCAATTCTGGAAGGAGACTTAAAAATAGATTTTAAAAAAAATCAAGGAATAAAATTCATTGTTGTAACATGAATAAAAATTAAGCCTGTGTATATGGGCCTCTCCTCAACAGGCTGCATAAGCCTTAAGTAATTTTTGAATGTGAAGTTAGACTATTATATTCCTCACCTCTCACCAATGATCCCTCTATTTTGGGCTTACTGGTGAATTTCATTCAAAATTTTTGCTATGGGAATTGAAAACACAGAGAGAGAAGCATCTGTACTGGGATGGTTTATTGATGCTTTCAAGAGATTCAGTCTTCCTGAGGAAGTTAACGAAACAGAATTTCTACTTCCAGAATCTGTACCTGATCTTTCGTCCAAAGAACGGATCTCTTTCTGCATAAAGCTCTCTTTCAGCCAAAGTGATATGATAAGCTTCAGCTTCAAGCTGCACATAAAAATTTGCCTCACTGTATTAAGTCCATTTATTTTGGGTAAGTTTCACTGTCTCAACCTAAAATTTGGTTCAGCTAATAATTCTAATTGTTGTAGAAGTCTCAAGTCCTCACTCAGCATTGACGCCATGGTTTCCAAAGACTTGTCCAAAATGAACACAACTGTATTTGTAATTTAGGAGGAATTTACTTTTTCTACTGCCAGCGCACTTAAAAAAAGCCATGTAAACATCATGGACCGTTGCTATCAGCATTACCTTCCTTGAAAGCAGAGGAGAACTGAAAAGGAGTTGCTCTGCTCAGATCTTTGTCAGGGTTTGTTACTCTTCACCATTTAAGAACAGAGCTCAGACTGTATGCGTCTTCCAGCTTCTCCACAAAAAGGCTTCTGGTTTCCTCGTGTCTGTTAATAGTGTCACACAGTCATTACATATCAATGCCCTTTACAAATTTACCTTGGAGGGACAGACAAGGAGGTAGATCATTCATTAGAGAACACATTTGAAAGAAAGCAGGCTGGACAATATGACTGCAATGTTTCTCTGCAGCAGTAAGTTCTCGTACCAAAGTTAGCCCGTTAAGTTTAATAGTTAAGGAAAAACAGAGTAGGTATTTACTCACACACAATTTTATGAGGGGAACAACTGAGTTGCAGCAAGAAAAACACACTTTTTAGACAAACTGATATTACATCACATTAGTGGGCCACAGAACTTTTTAAAAAAATAAACCTTTTGAGACATGAGAATGAAATCACATTAGCATGCTTTAAATAGCTGAACTGCTCTTCAAAGCTTAAGTTTTCAGCTATTGGCAAAGACAATGATATCTCCTCGTTTGGAAATTAAAAAGCATTTAGCAATAAGTTAAAGCTAGCCTACATGTAAGTGGGCTAAATACTAGGCAAATATTTTTCCCTTTTCACATTTAACATGATACTACAGTTCATCATTTCTGTAGCTTATGTGTTGCTGTGCAATGCCCTACTGAAGTTTCACATTTACTCTCCAAAAGAGAACAAGAGTAAACATCTTTCTTTTAGGATAGTCACAGATGGTAAAGCCAGTAGTATTTGTTTGTCTGTTTAATTAGATGTTTGCTGTTTATCATACACAAGAACTGTAAGCAGAGTCCATGGATTATTCTGAGCAATATGAAACCTCATGGTTCCATTCGAGTTCAATACTGCCTCTTTACCCCACCC